AGCTGCGTCGTATGCGAACAACGCAACGTAATTCTTAGGAGCATCATCCCCTTTAAAGAACTCATCAAACTCCATTTCGACAGTTTTAATGCCTTCACCTGACTCATTCGACTCGTCAGAAGATGACGACGAAGAACTTTCATCGTCGTCTTCACACTCGACTATTTCAAACTTGTTCTTCTCTTCTTCTTTTGGCTGCTCAGCGGCTTTCTTCTCTTGTGCTTCTTTCTTCTTCATCTTTTCAATTTTGGCTATAACCGTAGGATCCAACATCTCCAACTTTCCATTCCCTTGCGCGGATTTGACAGGGTACACACTGAACCTATCGCGATTTGTTGTGGATGTCGCTTTCTTCATATCAGAAAGCATTCGCGTTTGTCGTCGCTCAACTTTTTTCAAATTTCGCGTTGCGCTCTTCTTTTGTGGTTTCGCTTGAGAATTCAATTTTCCGTCGTTCTTTGCTTTCACCTCGATTTTTGCTTCTTCCTTTTTGACTTGTTGTTTTGGTTGTTCTTTTATAGTTTCTTTTACAATTTCTTTTGGAATTTGTTTTGGAGGCTCCTTTGGTGGTTCTTTTGGTGGTTCAGTTTTAATTTCGACTTTTTTCTCTTCTCCTTTGTCTTCTTGGGGCTTTTGTTGTTGTGCATCTTGTTGCACAGTTTGTGTGTTTTTTTGTTGTGTTGGGATAGGAGGTGGTCTTGTTTGTGGCATCATCGATTTTGGTCTTTGGTTCTGTTGTGGTTGTGTGTTTGGTGAATTGACTGGAAGTTGTTTTTGTATAGGTTTTGTTGATTGCTTTGGTGGAGGAAGTTCCTTCTTGAGTGTTGGGAATTTATATTTCTCACATGTTTCTTTCTCTTCTTTGACAGAGGAAACGGGGACCAAGTAGTTTCTCACACTATAACATCCATTGTGCAAGTCTCTTTGTTTTTGGGCATAGACAATGTCTTCAGTGACAAACGAATTGTCATCAGAAGTGATAGCCTTTTGTTGCAAATTGAGTTTTGTGTGTTCCATTGTGTTTTGCAATGAACTCAGTCCCGATCTTGTCTCCATCAATTGTTCCATATAAAAGTTGTCACTTGCAAGAAGTCCTATCATCGTTTCGTTGTACATGATCTGTGAAAATTCAATGATATTCCTCATATCCTCAATGAGTTCGTTTCGTAAGTAGTAGTACAAGTCGAGTGACCTTTCAAACCGTTGTTTTGCAATTGACAATGTTTCTGGTTTAGCGTTATTCATGGCTTCATTCAGTCTGTTACACTCTTCGTGTCTATCTTTGAGTACTTTGTGTCGTAATCCAAGCACATTGTATATCTTTTTGAGCTCGAGCAACGGCGTTAAAACCACTTTAACAACACTCTGTTTGTACTTAGAAACCGCCATATTCTCTATCTCACAAACAGTTTTGTACTTAAGCGCGGCAGAATTGATTTCCACAATAGGGTCTGTCAAATTGACCAAACAGTCTGTGATGAAAATTCGAGTGTCTTGTGTCTGGACCATAAGGTCCGACATAGACACAACCAATTGATATAATTTGTTCAACCCAACCTCTTGATATTTAAACTTCTGGTACACTCGTAAAAACTCGACATCGACTGTCCTTTCAGTGATGTTAAGTGATGTTTTCATTTGGAATATCTTCTTGTTCAATGAATCAAATATCGACATTATTAACTCGTTTATTAAGTTCCTTTTTCTTCAAAAAACCGACAGAGTTCCACAGAGATCCTTTGAAAACGTCTTTGTCTCACACCAAACTATTCTAATTAACAAATGGTTTTTTATTAATAATGTTAATTAGTCAAAAATACAACACAAAGTAAGGAATTATAACTATAAATTATGGGTTGTTTTTTAATAAATAAACTAGGAGCAGGAAACATAAAATTACATACAAACGGACAAATTAAAACGTTGAGACTGTTACGACAGGTTTCTTCACTTCTTCCTCTTTGAGACATTTCTCCAAGTTGGTTTGCAAACACTCAACCAAATCATTGATTTCTAATGATTAGTTATATGATAGTATATAAATCAAGGAGAAAACAAACTGATCCGATCTTTTGGCTCATCGAGCCAACACTTAGAAATCAAGTCGTATGTCCACTGATTCATTTTGTGAGGTTTTGGTAGCCGTTTCCCTTGGTTAACAAATTCAGCAACAGACCAAGGAAATGGGAATTGGTCGAGTGGGTACAACCCGCCCCAGTTCATGACCTCGTATAGTGTGATCCCATACGAAAAGATATCCGCAAATATTTTGTACTTCTTTCCACCACATAAGACCTCTGGTGCCATGTAAATTGGCGTTCCAATTCCTTTTGTGAACGTCATATTTGTGAGCAACATATTCACATTTCTCGAAGACCCAAAATCGGTCAATTTTGCATTGATTTGTACATTCGGTTGCAATGAAAAGAGTAAGATGTTGTCCGGTTTGATGTCTCTATGAATGATCCCATTGTTGTGTAAGTATTGTATTCCCTTCGCGGCGTCGAGCATTATTTTTACACGCATCGACTTTCTGATTTTCTTTGGGTGCTTGTCCATAAAGTCTTTGACGCTCCCATAATCTGCGAATTCAGTCACCATACAGATTTTCGTTGGGATAAAGACTGCACCATAGAAATGTACGATGTACTCACACCTGAACTTGTCGAGCATCTCAACTTCTTTTTCGAACTCCTGAATCGACTCGTCCGTCAAATTTAAGTCTTTCATGATCTTCACAGCAACGGGTTTTTCCTTAAACACACCTTTGTATACAACACCAAATCCACCTTCCCCTATCTTTTTCTCAATGTCGATATCGTCAAAGTCAAGTATCGTTGTTTGCTTCGTTCGCGCGTTTAAACGAATTTTAATTTCAGTTATTTTACACGTTTTAAGATCCGTGCAACTTAACGTAATCTCTTCGTTTATTGTACAACTACACTTTGGTTGCAAGAAAAACTTGAACGTACACGCCATACCCTTTTTCAACGTGAAAGATGATGGGGACGTTTCAAGTGTGAACTTATCCTCCAAACCATTAGCTATTGCAAACGAAAATTTGACCGGGTACTTCGATATGTTTCCAACAGTGACATTATCCTCCGTTTGAGACTTGACGGGGAGAACTAAAGGCTCTTCCTCTTCATCACAGAAAACAACCAATTTGTCTATGACAATATTCGCACACTGTCTTAAATTTTTGTTGCTCTTTTTAATTTTGAACAAGTTGATTTGCTTTTTCATGCGTCGCTCTTTCATCTTCTTCAATAAAACAAGAGAAGCGATTAACAACAACGCAACAAATAGAACGAACATCACAAGAATCGCAAAAACGATAACAATTACGAGCCATGCTGGTGTATATTTTTCACAATAACTACCATCTTTTGATGTTTTGTAATATATTGAACACTTCGAACACTTTGAGTTACGAGCTTCAAGACAATTGGTGATCAAAGTGTATGGAATACACGTTGAATCGACAATGACGTTATCTGCAATACACTCGTTGCAAGTGTACATATTGCATGAAACACAACTTAAGTCGCACTCGGTGCAATCTCTGTCCTTCAAATAATATCCAACTCTGCACTTTGTACACCCAAAGTTTTTGTCAACTTCCGACGAGCAGCCAATAACCAAAGAAATCCTTTTGCATTGATTCGTAGGGGTGAGATATGAATCATCAGCGCATTCAACACATTCATTTGAATCTCTACAATATTGGCAATTGTCAACACATCGTACACACGTGAAGTTGTTCATAAAATAGCCACTTTTACACACCAAGCATCCAAACTGGGAAAAAATTTCGCACGTATTCTGGAGTTCCTCGTTTTGTAGACAACTGTGTGAAATTAAATTCTTTGTGTAACTCAAATTTTTACATACCAAACAAAATTCTCCAGTATCAACACACGTCCCACATTCATTGGAACATGGTTGACACGTTTTTTCTGTGTTGAGAAAATTTCCACTCTCACATGAAAAGCATCCAAACTCGTTTGCGTCTTGGCAGTTATCGCCCTTCGTATTTGAGCATTTTCCATTACTTAATTGCAATCCAGAAGAACACGAAATACAATTCCCAACGCCGTCATATGCAACACACTTTTCTTCGATTACTTCACAGTTTGTTTTATTGTTAAATTCGTTCTTGGCTTGGCAACTTTCACAGATCCCATCGATAACAGTTTTGCAGTTGCTCGAAACACACTTTCCATCTTCAAGAACATTGTCAATTTCACATGTTAAACATTCTGTTAAGGTACACTTTTTACAAGGCCCAAATATTTCCCCACATGAATAACATACATTACTTTTTAAAACATACCCTTCATCACAATCAACTATTCCAGCTGTGGTCGAACTTTTTGAATTGAGTGGAAATTCACAGATATTCCCATTCAGCTTAGAGTTGTCACAAATTAAACACTTTTCTTCCGAATTTTGTTTCGCGCATGAAACACACTTTTCGTCTCCACAGGTGGCGCAATTGCCTTCTGGGTACGTCACAGCCTTTGAATTTGCACATTTGAGGCATTTGAAATTTTCGTATGATAAGCACCCGTCATTGAGTGTCCTAGGGGTACAGGTGCCATCACTAAGCACAAAAAAAGAATTGCATTGAATGGGTGTGTCTTCGTTGTTGCAACGAAGTGCATTTTTATCAGTGCACGCCACACACGAGAGTCCGTCGGAAGTCAAGTGGTACCCGGCATAGCATTCCACACAATGACCACTCCAGAATTTTAGGCACTTATCTGCCCGTGTCGTTACCACACACCCACCAGCGACATTTTTAGAGATTCAAGGTCGCAAACCAAACACGAAAATTCGTTCTTCGAGAATTTGCCTATTTACACAAAATCCTTTCGAA